TGCGTATGCTTGTGCCTGTGCTTGTGCTTGTGCTTGTGTTGTTGTTTGTGTGTTTGTGATTGTGTGTTTGTGTCTGTGTCCGTGTCTGTGTCTGTGTCTGTGTCTGTGTCTGTATGGTGTGTGTTGTGTGGTGCGTGTAGTGTGATTTGTATTGTGTGGTGTGGGTTGCGTGTTGCGTGTTGCGTGTTGCGTGAGTGTTGCGTATTGCGTGTTGTGTGGTGTGTGTGTTGCGTGTTGTGTGGTGTATGTTGCGTGTTGTGTGGTACGCGTTGTGTGTTGTGTCGTGTGTTGTGTGTGTTGTGTTGTGTGTGCTGTGTAGGGTGTAGGGTGTAGGGTGTCTGTTGGGTGTAGGATGTGTGGTGTGTTGTGTGTGTGCCGTGTGCTGTGTGTTGCGTGTTGTGTGTGTTGTGGGATGTGGGTTGTGTGTTGTGTGTTGTGTTCTGTGTTGTGTGGTGTGTGTTGTGTGGTGTGTTGTGTGCTGTGTGTGTTGTGGGTTGCGTGTTGTGGGTTGTGGGTTGCGGGTTGTGGGTTGCGGGTTGTGTCGTTGTGGGTTGTGTGGTTGTGGGTTGTGGGTTCTGGGTTGTGGGTTGTGGGTTCTGTGTTGAGTGTTGTGTGGTGTGTGTTGTGTGGTGTGTGGTGTGTGGTGTGTGTTGTGTGTTGTGTGTTGTGCGGTGTGTGTTGTGGGTTGTGGGTTGTGTGTTGTGGGTTGTGTGGTGTATGGTGTGAGTTTTTTGTTTGGTGTGTGGTGACTGGTGTGTGTGTGTGTTGTGTGGTGTGTGCTGTGCGGTGTGTGGTGTGTGGTGTGTGATGTGTGTGTCGTGTGGTGTGGGTGGTGTGAGTTGTGTGTTGTGTGTGTGTTGTGTGTTGTGTGTTGTGTGCTGTGCGTTGTGTGGTGTGCGGTGTGTGGTGTATGGTGTGTATGTGTGCGCGTGCGTGCGTGCATGTGTGTGCCTGCGTGTGTGCATGTGTGTGAGCGTTGTTGTGTGTGTGTGTGTGTTTGTGTGTGTGTTTGTCTGTTTTTGTGTGTCTGTTTGTCTGGTTGTGTGGTTGTGTGATTGTGGGTCTGTGTGTGTGTTTGTGTGGTTGTGTAGTTGTGTGGTTGTGTGTTTGTGTGGTTGGGTGATTGTGTGGTTGTGGGTTTGTGTGTTGTGTGGTTGTGTGTTTGTGTGGTTGTGCGTTTGTGTGGTTGTGTGCGTGTGTG